TGTTCGATTCAATGTAAGCGAGAAAATATTTGCATTGAAAATACTCACCTTGAAGCTTCACTCTTTTAGCCTCTAAATCGCAGCACTGGTGACCAGAGATGGAACCGGTGCCGATCATCAAAAATAATTCAGACCGGTTCCATCTCTGCTGGTGATACTGTGTGGACGTTTGTCAAAGATCGCTCTGCTATCCAAGAATGATGCTAAATTCTTGAAAGAAAGAAGCCGATTTAAGATCCGGATTGTCTAGGCTGATCTCACATAGTGACACATTCATGTTTGTAATACACGACGCTTTATTTTAGAAAGAATTTCTGTCATGTTATTAATTTCAAATGAAAAATCTTGATATAATAAGAAAAAATTCGAAGGAGAAAAATCAAGCAAGGTTGTACCAATTTTTTTGTTTACCAAACATAGGGAAATAAAATATATGGTACATCGCGTTCAAACTTCTTCCAACTATCACCATATTTCTTACTACAATGTTCATTTAAACTTGGCACAGCTCTCATTGTAAAATCCCACGTGTGACCGAAGAATTGAAGAGCTGCCAACCAGTAATTTCCACTTGTCAGAGCCAATCCAGTACGCCATAGTGTATAACCTCCATAATTAATATGACGGGCAAGAGAAAACAGACCACCGGAATAATTTTTGCCCTTATTTATCGGATTGTCCTTGAATTTTTTGCGTTGAAATTCCGCAATGGTTTCTATGAGAATACCCTCTGTAAACAACAATATGCCAATATATTGTAGAGTATCAAGATTTTCTGATGGACTATAGATCAGAGATGAAAGTGCAACGAGCGAATTGGAAAATATTTCAAAAATAGATATCGTGATCGCGAAAGAATAGGTTATTTGTTCTTCTTGGACGTAGGTAATGTTAATAATTTGTTTGACAACAGCGACTACGAGCATAGCGACCAGGACTTGTCCTTTATGTCCAGGCGGAAAAGTGGTGATACCGAGTTTAGAAATGATTTGACGAGCGTATCCATGAAAGATGGTGATGTATTGAATGTACGGATTAATGGCATGTAGGACAGAAAATATAAAGCGAGGCATAGGGCTACGGCCTTTTTTCGAACGATCATATATGTCGTATACTTTTTTGGATTGATTGGGCATGGCCATCAAATATCTAATATGATACTTTTAAAGCAAAACGTTCCTAACGCTGAGTGAGAATGTGGGTAGAACCACTACCCTAAGCCACCCACTAACACCCTCAATAATCAGCTCCAAACATGCAATGTCATAAGCAAGAAAAAAAACACATCTTAATTCTACTTCAGAAAAGAATAAATCAAAGTTCGACGAAAGCAAAGTACAAGTGAAAAAGAAATATATTATTCAAAGCAAAGGATACTGAAGCTTTGGAAATGTTCAAATCTATCTTACAACAGGGGGAAATCTTTCTAGAATATGCGTAATAGAAGATAAGAGATGTGTGTCCGCTGACTAACTAAAACAACGTACGAGCATGATTATGAAGGCAAAACTATTTCGTCAAAATAGAACAGAAAAAAAGGGATGCATGACACATTGCATGAGTATCTTATTGGACAGTAGCAACGTAGCACGGAGATAAGTGGGTGAAGTATGGTTTGTCAATATCACAATCTAGAGAAAAAGATTTGAGACAAGCTACTATAATACGTGTTTCGACCTTGCTCAAGGGTCTTGTCAAATGATTTAACCAATCCGAATTCGAAAATCCAAATCATGAAAAAAAGTATTAAGAACACTTCTGGCTATTACTACTGAATTACGAAAAGAAAAATAGTGCCCAATCTGAGAAATACTTAGATGAAAAATAAATATGATACTACTATTTTCGATAGACAGTTAGCTCTCATAACGAATCTGATTGATTTTCTAAAGCTCTTTCTAAAAATGAAATCATCATTCTAGCGAATTTCGCAAACAAATGAAAAAACTTTATGATACATTTATCATCAGAATATGATCGAAAATTGAAAAAGTTTGGTTTTCTCTTTGTTTTAAACCTAAGCGAGGCTAACTAAGATATTCATATCCGAGATATTCATGAAGGTCTCCATAGAATAGAATGATTTTAAAATCACTCTCCGTGGGTACACTCAAATATGTTTCCTCATCAGTCTTGATGTAAGATTGCATGAAGGATGATTTTTTGTACGGTTTTTCGTATGATCTTGCTTGAATATATACGATATTACTGTAATATGTTAATTGATCGTGCAAGAATCTTTGATGGATCTTACGGTCTGATTTATTGACCTTGGATGCTATAAACGATACAGTACATATATGGCCGTAAAACATCGATCTGCTTTACGGTAAAATACGGTGCGTGAACGACCCATATCTAACCATCTGCGACCGTAAAGACACCGTATTTGAATCGTATACGGTCTGTATACGATAACCGTAACCAACTCCCGGGCACTTTAGTTTCATTTCGTATGTAATATACACAACAAAAGTACGATAAGAAGAAGCTTTCAACAAAACCATGAAGACATCAATTTAATTTATTCGCAGTATCGTTTATTTACTGAAAAAGACAAAGACGAAAATAAACATACAGGAGAGATAATAATAGAGCATTTATCAGCGTCGTTCTCAACTCTCAAACATCCCTTTATTGTCTACCTTTGATTCGCACGGATCTCTGGTTGTTAAAACAGTAATGATGCACTAAGATGTTATTATAGATTTTATTGGAACTATCAGCTATAAGATAGAAATCGAAACACGGCCGAATCTTACATTATTGGAGAAGTTGAACATAATTTTTTATTACACGATATAGTAACGATTTGTTTCAGATTGGTTTTTGATTCGTGATAGAAGTACACAATGAGTAAATCATCTTCAAAGATTGTGTCAAAGACATTCATGAATCCACGATATGTCATGATTTCATCGGTTGGCAGTAGAAATGTCGAAAGGAAAAATGTCGAAAGAGAAAAATGTCGAAAGGACAAATGTCGAAAAAACGAAGGGGAAAAATGTCGAAAGAGAAAAATGTCGAAAGGACAAATGTCGAAAAAACGAAGGGGAAAAATGTCGAAAGGAAAAACATCGAAAGGGAAAAATGTCGAAAAGAAAAATGTCGAACGGGAAAAATATCGAAAAAGATATACATTAAGAAAATGGTTGATTATTCTTGTTAGAAAATCTTGAAATAGAAGAGATTTTCTTTATTTTTTATGCTAACACTAACATATGTTAATAGAAATGAATTTATGAATGAAGAAATAAATTTATGAGTGAAAAAATAAATTTAAAAAAATAATTTTTTTCGTTTTGCAACGATCAACGATAAGCTATCTATGTATTCCATAGCTTTGATAATACCACCATAATATCATTTACGAAGAACATCGATACGACGTTGAGTTGCAATTGTTTTTATTTGCTTAGGTCGTGTTCTTAAACCTGCATAAAATTTAAATACTTAGGTGATGAAAACGATTTTCTTCTGCTTGTACAAACTTTATGAATGACCAAATGTTTGGATGATTAACTTGAACTCGTTCATTAAAGCGACTATGAAACGTTAAATATATAAGAATGAAGTTATGAGAAACTGTTAAAAAGTATTTGAGTTCCGTCATTTAAAAATACCGTATTTGTTGGCATATTATTATCACTATAGTTATTTATTTACGTTGTATATAGTTGTTTATTTAATCTCTATCACGTATTAGTCATTTTTACTACTAGTTGTGAAAAATCTCGACTATAGGAATTATAATAAAAGAAAATATGTATTGTTCGAATTTAGAGTTATCATTTATGGGAGACATCGTTGTTTCTTTTATTTTTCATTTTGACATCTGTTTATATTAGAATTCATTTTTCGACATTTTTCCCCTTCGATATTTTTTCTTTCGACATTTTTCCCTTTCGATATTTTTCCCTTCGACATTTTTCTCTTTCGACGTTTTTCCCTTTCGACATTTTTCCTTCGACATTTTTACCCTATTTTTTTTTCTTTCGACATTTTTCCTTTCGACATTTCTACTACACACCATTTCATCTGATAAAAAGAACAACGATGATTATCAGACATGGACGGGGTAGCTAAAAAGTCACCCGACCACCGCCTCGTCCAGTCTCGTCTATCTGACGGTCGAACCGCTTCCGTCCCGCCTAATTGACGATCCCACCGCCATCACCCCGCCCCGTCCCATCTGACATGATAAGTGTTGTGAAACGCGAAATGCTTGCAAGTGTTTGTAGTATCATGGATAAACAAAAAACGGTAATAAATAGGCACGTAATAAAGGGTTTAGGTCGTTACTGTCTAGATGGAAACAATTCTCATCATTCTTGAATACTTGTCCGCAAAACTTTTCTACATTTGTAAACCTCATGTAGAAGGATTCTTGTTGCAATTTATGAACAAAAGAGGTTGGATATCACATCAAAGAGGACAGTGCCGAAATCAGATTTTTTTGATTAACTGATTGCACGAATTAAAACGATTTATTTTTCAATTTTTTGATTAAAATCGATGGTAACCACTTGATTTTTTAAAACTTTCTCTCAACGTTAAATCAGAAAAATCAATTTAATCAAACAGAAATCAGTGTAATCAATAACTTCAGAAAAATCAGACAATTGGGGCAATAAAACAAATACTATTTTGTCATTATTATGGTAGATCTGATGGAAAAGACCTAAAAGCAGGAATTTTTCTTGGGTGTGGGTGTGGGTGTCTCATTTTCAACATACAAACTGAAACCCACATCCACACCCCACATCCACATCCACACCCCACATCCACATCCACACCCACCCATACCCACACCCACACCCACATCCTCAATTGATAACAACAAAGCCTTATTTTCAAGCATCTGCCGATGAATTCAATCTTTGAATAGTAAAGATATTGAAATAGTCCTGGACAACAATTGCAAAAGAACATATAGTTCAGAATCAAACAGTGTACTGAACAAATTACTGCAACATATTAAAACCATCGGCGGCCGAATTATGGGTTCAGCAAATTCACGAACGGCTTTACGCACTCTTATTCATGCACTAATCAATGGTCAAAGTCTGCCCCATATTTTTCTAACTCTAAATCCGGTCGATATCCATAGTCCTGTAGCACTATATTTTGCAGGCGTTAAACTTGATTTGGACAACATTCAAATAGAACAACTTATAAATACTTACAAAAGGGCTGAAATTATAGCATTTCATCCAGTTGCTACTGCAAAATTTTTTCATTTATTGATTACTAATATCTTAAATACTATGATTATTGATGGTGTTCTTGGACCAATAAAGGCTTATTTCGGTACTGCTGAAAGTCAAGGCCGAGGTTCACTTCATTTACATCTCCTTATTTGGCTTGGCCATGATATGAAACTAGCCGATATGGAAGAAAGAATCCAAGATGCCAATTTTCGTGATAAGTTAAAAGCATACTTAGAAGATATCATCAAAGAAGATTTAGATGATTTCAAAGACAAACATGCCTTTGAAGATTCAAACGGTATAGAATGTTTCTATTTTATTCAAATATCAAATTTTGTTTTTTTTTTGTTTTAGTGCCAAGATCATTCAATACTCCTATAAGATTATCATAAGACAATATTTATACCGCTTTACGTACTATTGATTTGACAAGCTTGACCGAAAATACTCATGAATATCATTTTCTGTCGGCACCGATGAAACAACAACGTTCTCCATTGATTCCTTATAATTCTCCATCAATTTCTTATGCTTCTCCATCATGAAATAGATCGTTACAAACACCAACACATGACCGATCGACAGCCGGTACGATATAGTAGATATTAAAAAAAGGCAAAGTATTCATTAATATTTTAGGTACAGATGTTCTATATAATCAATCAGACTTAATTCCAGCTTGCTTACCTACTCAAAATCCATCGTCACCTAATTTTGCATCAAGATTTCGTGCAGATGCCGTGCAACTTGTTGAAACAAGCGATGTTCACAAGCACAGTGACACTTGCTATAAGTATTGGAACGTCAATCGAAGCGATAAGAAAGTTGTCGTATGTGTATGCCACACAAGTTAGTACCAGTTTTGACGATTGATCCAGACACTGGTCCTATCTCAATGCGACGATCGGATCCAATGATCAATAACTTTAATGAATATTTCATCACCCCATGTCGATCCAACATGGATATCAAATCTATTTGGAGTAGCAGTGATGCAAACGCTCTTGTTTATTATATTACTGACTATGTGACAAAGATGAGTCGTTCTTTTCATGATACGTTTGATCTTGTACAAAAAAGCATTACATCACTTCGGAATTCATTGTAACAGTCAAGCAATGAAAGTACAATTGAAAAATCACGAAATCTCGTTTTACGTTGTTACAATACACTTGCTTCTCAACAAGAACTATCTGAAGTTCAAATTGCTTCTTATCTGATGAATTGGGATGATCATTACACTATACACAAGTTTCAAAGTCGTCATCTAATTCAAACTGAGCGTTATTTATAAGCTTAACTGAATGAAATACGCTCCAAACAAAAATTGGAATTGTCAGCACACGGTCAGTATTTTATTTTATTTGATCGTTTAGTACTAAGTATTATTGAAAAGTGATCATAAACTATATTGATATATTGGAAAAAGGAAAAGAGAAGTGAAAGAGAATTTCTTTAGAAGTTGAGTCATGGGTTATTTGTTCATCAAAAAATACTTTGATATCATGAGAAATGTAGCAGTGATATTGATCATTATATATATATAAATCTTTTTTTACTATAGATGCCGTAGAGAGAACCAGTATGATATTTTTTTCTTTTTCTCTCCTCTCTTTCATCTTTATGTATCTTCGAAATGTTCTGTTTGATGTCGTTCAAATATTCTCATTCATTTATGGTTATCTTCTCACACTGCTGGATTGTTTTCACGAGTCATTCCTTAGATATCATAAACATTTTAGATGATTAAAATTATTTCTTGATTTTTTATCGGAACGATTGAATTGACTGGTTAACATGACTTTTCATGATATAGAAAGACAGAACTGTGAAGATTCAGTAAAGTTTAAGTATTTAGTAGAATAATTACACTACTTAAACCGCACAATAAAAAAATCATAACTGTTATTTCTGTTGTATAAGAGAAACAGTGAAGATCACGTGCGTTAAAATATCATAATAAGATAGAAAATTATATATATATTGTCTTTTGTATACAGATATAATCGACGATGACACGATTGACAATGAAAACAACGAAGAAGAACATTTTCAGATACAATTGACTGAAAACAACGAAAGATACGTACTTGTGAACATAAGAATTGACTATCAATATCGCTCCGACATTCTTAATAATATGTGTTTATACGACTTTGTCAGCATATTATATAAGAAAAAAAATAAATGCAGCAGATATGAAATATCTATCGAAGACTGGAGTACCAGTGGAAGAAGCAGGTAACCAAAAAGGTCGATCAGCTGATGCACGTTATCCTTTTCAAACGCAATATCCACAAACAACAACACATCCATTGATGAAATACGGTGAGTATCATGTACCTATTCTTTATGGTCCACAAATTCCTCGACGAGATCGTGACGATATTCGAGAACAATATAGTCGAGCTCTTTTCACACTTTTCGTACCTTGAAGCACCGTTACCGATCTTTGTGACGTCAATCAAAGATGGGGAGAAGATTTTAAATCCCGACAAAATCGTACTTTCTTTCGTTCATGGTAGATCATAGAAAATATTCAACTTTTATATGAATGTAAAAAAGATCGCGATGAACATATACTTCACGTGATTGCTGAAGCTCAAACTGATAATGACGCAATCGATCCTGTTCTTTTACCTGCAAATCAAGATGTTGATGGCGAATATGATATGGACGATAGCGAAGACTTATTAGAATTACTAGGCAACATAGATGAATACACGCATGCAGCGATTAATACCACCAAAGCCTCAACAGAAGATAAATATATTGAAGAAACTACTGAAGCAGTCGAAAATGTTGGATAATTTAGTTATATAAATAGTAAATAATACTTTAAGATGATTAATTAGTTAAAATTGAAAATAAATATGTAAAATTTGTTGTAGCTCATCGTCAATCTTCTTCAAATGAATCTATCGATTATGCAAATCAACAGCTTGTATCGTTCATTTTTGCAACACCAAACCTTATTCGATTAAACACACAATGGCAAGAACAACTGAGGAATGAAAAAGAATGGGTTAGACGAGGTTTAATTACAGGCCACTATGACAAAGCAGATGATACATTAGATTTACACGCTGTAAAAGATGCCGTTGTAACAGTAGTGAATCCGAGTAATGATAATAAAAACAGTTTTGAAAATTATGGCTCCACTATTCCAGTGGTCTCGATCACAACTAACTTTTCCACTCAAAAAATCATCGCTGACGAATTTACATTAAATAAAGAACAACAAGCTGCATTCATCATAATAACAAGTCATCTTGATGGTGATAGTCGTCATCGTACAGATACTTTTACAAAATAATTTATCATGAATTGAAATACAAAGTATTTTTAGATGATAATAATGGTCCGCTTATAATGTGCATACCTGAATGTGGTGGTACAGGCAAATCACAACTTATTTGTACTCTCAGCAAATACTTTCTAATTACAAAGAGAATGCAAATGATGCGAAAGCTTGCACCAACTGGAATTGCTGCTGCTGCTGACATAGGTGGAATGACAATTCATTCATTTTTGGATGAACACCATAATTCTGGAAAGCCACGAACTATAAAACCAGGTGGTTCAAAACTCGAAAAAGAATGGAGGCTTGTCGAATATCTATTAATCGATGAAATGAATATGGCGGGTATAAATTTACTGGCAAAACTCAACCGAATCATTTGTTCTGCACAACATGTCAATCTGCAAGTTCCATTCGGTGGTGTAAATGTTATTTTCTTCGGTGATTATTCACAATATCTACCTGTGTATGATGCACCATTACATACCGATTTTTCATTGCAGTCGAAAAAAGATCAGGTAAACAGCCCAATGAAAAATAAATTCAACAACGTGTTGCACGTTCTTTAATTCTTCAAATTAACTGCGTCGTAAAACTTACCCAACAAATACGAACGGAAGATCCACGGTACCTTCAATTACTCGAACGACTTCGTCATGGACAATGTAAATACGGCGATTATGAACTATCGTTAACACGAGTTATTTGGCAATCATCAGTAGGCTCTCTACGTGATTCACCTTGGAATAAAGTATGATTTATTTTCCATTTCCAATAATTCCCTATCTTCGTCTGTTTTAGGCTCCGATTCTTGTGTTTCGGAATGAAGTTCGAACATAATTGAACAATAAGGCAGTAATTCACAAAGCAACAGAAATGAAACAAACACCCACGGCATGTGTCGCTCAAGACACCTGCAAAGGTAAACCAATTGAAGATCCAACACTCATTAAAAAATTGCTAGAATTATCCGACAGCAAAACGGAGCATTTACCAGGTCTTTTACCTTTTGTTCCTGGAGTGCCTGTTATTTTAACACAAAATATTGCTATTGAACTGGACCTTATTAATGGAATGAATGGAATCTTTCGACAACTTGTCTATGAAGAAGATTCTGTGACAACAGAAGCTCTTTCCGAAACATTTCCAAACAACACTCAATACATTCATCGGCTTCTATATGCATTACTTGAAATTGCCAAATCGAAGATTGAATGTAATCTTGAACAACTTCAAACAAATTTCGTTCCAATATCGTTAACGGAACAAACATTTCGAATTGATATTGCCGATGTTCTGTCAAAAGATAAGAGACAAAAATCAAATTGGAAGGCAATTTTATCAATAAAGTGGCGTGCACTACCACTCGTACCTTCTTACTCTATTACGACACATAAAAGGCAAGGCCAAACTTTAAATAATGTTGTAATTGATTTGAAACTACCAAATGAAAATGATGATATTACCGTAATTTATGTGCCTTTGTCGCGTGTAAAAAGCTTGGCTGATTTGATCATTCTGCGACATTTTGATTACAAGGTTTTATTAATTAAAACAAGTAAATCTCAACTCGCCGAGATAGAGAGACTAGATGAACTATACTTGGAGACACAAAGTCGTTTTTTTTGAGTGGTTTTAAAGTTTTACTCATGATTATTAAAACTTATATTCTTACATATGTGGTGCATGTCAGAGCTTTGTTACATTTCTAGTATTAACTTTTTATATTTTATTTCTTTTTTCTTTATGTTTCAATCTATATTCTACTTATCTCGTAATTACTCTCGCTGTATTATTATGTCGAATTTTTTAATATTTTCCTTTTTTTTCCATTTTTTAAAGTATATGATGTTTTTTAAATATTTCTTTTTTTTACCCAATTACACGTTCGTTATTGCTAATAAACCAATAATACTTGTGAGATGTTCATAAAATGAAACTTTAAATTTTAAAAATTGTTATAACTATTGTATAACCGTGTATTATCAATCTGAGTTAATATGGTTCATTACATGATCACTTTACAATACGTACTATTTATTGTACTAGAAGAGTTTATTAATTAAAGCTGACTTAGATGTAGACAATTTGACTTTCGTTACAAATTTTGGTTGGGAAATGAGATTTACTTTAAAATTATATTAAAAAAAGACAAAATAGTTTTTTTGCGCTTTTACAATTGAAGGGGAGAAATTTGCGTCGCAATTCAGAGGTAGGATTCGTAGATCGGTCCTATCAGTTCAGTACCAACAGAAAATACTTTTGCCTTATTCAGTCGAGGGTCAAATGAGTCGAAGCGACGAACGTTACTTGTTGGAATAACTTTCTAAGAGTAAAGTCATCTTGTTCCCTCGACTGAAGGAAGAGTCATATGAAATAAAATGCGGTTATATGTGTGTGTGTCAAGGTCAAAAAAACATCGAAATAAAAAAAAACATTGAAGTCAAAAAAACATCGAGGTCAAAAAAACATATATTTAATAAAGTTTGACAAAAGGTTTTCGGGGTCGAGAAATCGATTGCTACCAGAGGCAGAGATAGAACCGGTCTAGTTTTTTCAGACCGGTACCGGTACCGGCCAAAAGCAAAACAGACCGGATCGGACCGGTACAACCGATCTGACCAATCTAAACCGGTTTACAGACCGAAACAGATTTGCCGGAAAAAGTTGATCTGACGGGTGTACCGGCCAAAACTAACCTACCGGTACTAAACAGAACGCTGATGACACGTCAGTTTATAAGAGAAAATCCGACTTACCGACAAAATATCTATCTACAGACAACAGACTGAGGCTTGAAGTGAAACCTTGTTTCATAGTGAACTTTCTTGCGGGCTATCCTCGTACTTTCACGCATACTGGTATAATGGTTCACCGTTGATAACAATAGTCTCACTGATGGGCATTCTAAAAACTGTTTTTTAAATAAATTCCTGTGTGATCAGTGAAACTAGTCTTGGTGCTAGTTGTTTTTTCATATGAATACCATCATAGAGCAGGAAAGTGAAAAATATAGACCGGTACCGGATCGGCTGGTTATCGATACCGGCACAGGTCAGGCAGGCCGCCTGGTCTGTCTACTTTGTCTTCGAAATCGAAGTTTCATCTGAAAATTTCAAGATTTTGTTAGAAAATAGATATAACCTTCATTAATTTTCAAAAAATCACATTTAAGCGCCGTGAATCAGACAAATACTGCGGAATGAGGATTAAAGATACTTATAGGAAATCAATACGCTTACCATCCTGAAGAGATGATGAGCACAAACTTGCATAGTTATCATTATTTACTTATCATGTTTCTCAATTTTAGTTAAATTATAATATATAATATAATATCTCCCATAGGCTTATCGCCCGTTGGGGCCGGCGCTAAAGGGTCCACATAAGCAGTCAGGTTCTTTCGTCTTTTTCTTTTTACGGACGATGGTATCTGCACCCCTTCCGTCCAACGCTTCCCCCGTTTATGAATGTCCGGTTGGCGGTCAACATATGAATCACAAGATTGTGACATCTATGTTGACGTTGTAGTTTTACTCTGCATATTGACCAGTGACGTAATCAACACGCTATCGAATGAGTTATCCGAAAGAACTAGCCGTTAGTGACTTGTTCAAGATCATTCCATGAATGATGCTACTGAGGCTTGAACACAGTACCTTGTGGATACGTAACGAACAACGTAACTACTCAACCATGGCGGCTTTTAGTTAAATTAATTGATTCTAAATTCTTTTTTTCTGTTGCAGATTTAGAACTGATTGAATTCTGTTTCTCTCTTGATCCCAGTACTTTGAGTGACATTGTGATCTGGCATGAGAAGTTCAATGGAAATATTTTTGAACAAAAACCAGATATCTTCTACAAGCTGACTAACTTAGCATTGTTTTTATTTTGTCTACGTATTACCAATGTTCAGTTCGTAAACTCTTAATCAATAATGAAACTTTTCAACATATGCGGGTACCTGTGAAATTGTCAATACCCACAGACATTACCAACGCTGAAAAAGAATAGTCTTCGAAATTGATATTATTTACACATCCCTACTGCATCGCGCGTGTTTTGATTCAACTGAAGGATAGCCTTTCTTTCAGATACAGACAGCCATAATTACTTTCACTTTTACTTATACAAGACCTTAGAAAATTAAAAATCGGATGGTTCAGAATACATAAATAGCTTTTTATGCGAAATTTTACTATTTATATAATGTTTTTAATTTTCATCTAAGTTCATGTTGAAAGATATATACCGTAAAATTCTCTTCAAACATTCTATATAATGTTTTACTACAAAGTATGACAAGAGGAAGCTACACGAAAAATATTCAAGCTCTCCGAAGCTACCAGCTTTCTAAAGCACGGTGTAACATTCCTTAACTTTTTGCTAAGCGATGACAAAAGTATAAGCATATATGAAATTAAATTTTCTGATGCTGTGACGAATGCAGATTTAGTCTTTATAAAAGAAGTGATGCAAAACGTTGATTCTAGGTTCAATAACATCATACATTTTTAATAAATTAGAAATCTACAATGAATTGACTTTGATTTGTTTTTATTGTAATCGATTCGCTACCAATTGACAATCGATAAAAGAATAATGATTTTAGCCATTTAAAATGGATCTTTTCTGACTTTTACATAAATTGTTTTTTTACCTGAAAGTGTGTCCGCAGTTTTCACAGGTAAAACGCGTGCTTCGTGATCATATGATATTCATCTCGTAGAGCTAAATCAATTTTTTATAATTATTTTTTTCCCATTAGGCGCTTCAACTTCTATAAAATTTCTCTGCGACCAGTATGTAATCTTGGTTTCGTAATTATTATTGTGATAATAAAAGTTTTCTAAAAGCTGTGTGTGTCGATATTGATATCACCTCCTGCTGTGATCTTCCTTTCCTCTTTCGTCTTTATATAGCTGCCTCTATTGTTCCTTCCTCTGTTCATCTATTTTTCTCTTCTTTCTCGCATATAAGCGTGCGTTGTATGTGAAGTAGATGCATCCTGGAGATGTGAAATAATTCAATAAACATCATTACCGAGGGTGGCGGTAAGCTGCTCCATCCAGTTTGTCTTTACAATGCAACCCAGCCAGATACTAAACAATCTCTCTTTTGTCGTTGCACTGTGCATCATATTTCTATGTGAAATATGAATGTGTTCATTAGAATATAGTGAAATGCTAACGGGTACTGTCAACGCCTATTCAACCTAGTTCTTTTTTTTAGATTTATTATTAGTAATACATGGGTGAGATTGGTGTATTTAAGGAATTCGAGAAACAGTGACAGCAAACATTATCCTCATTTAAATAGAAATAGAACGAGAAAAGCTATGGTGAATTCGTTAACGCAACTTGGCATTGAACTGATACGAGCTATTTTGCCCATTATCATTTTTGTGGGCGTAATGGGTAACTCAATCAATATAATTGTGCTCAATCGACCAGCCTTGTATCAACACTCGTGTTCTCGGTATTTTCTTGCTCTTGCCGGCAACAATCTCTTCTACTCAAGTATTATGTTGATCTATCATTTGTTGACTGACGGATATCAATTGGCACTGGTGGATAAATCTCTCATCATGTGCAAAGTGATCACGTACGTCAACACTTTATCAGCGTTCCTATCGCCTTACTTCATTATCCTTGCCTCCGTCGACCGATACTGTGCGACTTCGGCTCGTGTCCAACTACGTAATTTAAGCAATGTTAAAGTGGCTAAATGGGCAATTCTAATTATGGTAGTTGTACTTAGTCTCTTTCTCAGCAATGTTCTAGTTTTGATCGATGTACGACAAAGTGATGGCTTCGGATGTCGCATTCGAGACGATACTATCTACAATCAAGTGTACTTGATAGTGCAAGTTTCATTCTTTGCCATTGTTCCACCTTTAGGGATGGCTCTGTTCGGCTTCATGACCATCTATCATATAAAACGACATGGTACTATTCGTGCAGCAGTCTCACGCTATCGTCGCACCGAAACTCAACTAGCCCATATGCTTCTTCTTCAGTTAGGCGTTCACATTGTTCTGAATATTCCCACTAGCGTAACCTATCTTATGTTGGTCCTGTCGTCGGTATATAAACCCACGATAGTATTCTACTTTCTCTACACTATTTTTCAATTTCTTTTTCATCTTTCGTATTCCACAGCTTTTATCTTATATTTCCTTTCGTCTCGTATCTATCGAAACGAACTCATTCATCTTGTCAACAGTATAGTGAGACTTCGTCGATTTGGTATTCAAGTGCATCCAAACACAACCACAAACACAATTACTGCCGCGCCGTTCAGTACAAACACGCAAAGATTGGCCACAGGACATCGTTGAATCAAACAATCTATATTAGCAACCAGCTAGATTTCAATCATCTCATTATAGTTCAATAAACGATGAATAACACTACTTCGCCTTTTTTATTTTCTTATCAAAAATAAGAAATTTTCTCATAAGTTGTTCTACCTTTTTCAACTGTAAAAATTTATGCATTATCGTGACCACGCGAAGCTTAATAAAAACCGTATATATACATATATACATATTGCGTTAGCCTCCACTTCATCATCAGATCTGTATTTGTTTCAATTAACATAAGAACATGAATAGATATGCTGGAAAAATAATTCAGAGTCAACTTATTCATTCATTCGGAAATTTAAAAAAGAAAGAGAAGCAAAGTATATTTTTCTTCGAGTAAAGTATGCAAAGAAAACCAAGAGATTCAAATAGACGAATCTCAGATTGACTTCTGTTCAAGGTTCTTACTTAGATAGCTTCCTGTACCTTTGATTTCTTAATTTGATTTCATGTCTATTCCAAAACCAAAAAGTGACCTAAACTCTATAATAAACGTTCTTTCCTTTCATTGTATTTTGTGCACTTGGGTAAAGTAAAATTCAAAATTACTGATTGTACATCATGCTAACTGAATATGCTAAGAATGGTTTTATTGGAATATGGTATTAGTTTGTAATGTCGTCATCGATCACTGTCAGATCTTGAGCAGTTGTGATCAGTAGGAAACGACGAAAACATAGACAAACAATATCGAATGAGTGTGAATGACAGACTTAATTGAACCGCTTTTAATCACTATCGGGGACGAATATATTAGAATCATCAAGCAAAAGAAGAAAAATTCGAGTACTTTCAAGTAATTTTTTGCTTTCAAATCTTGAGTATTAGTTTCCTTTAGAGAATGAGTGACTCTGGATGGATCGCATCAAGAATATGAAGGAACCATTGGATAGAACTATGGGTACAGCAAATCTTGAATAGATTTGGGATTTAGCACCAAATCTCCAAGGTTTGGACTTGGATTTGGATTTCGTTTCTGGATGTGGGTATGGTTCGGACTTAGTTCTTCGATATGAATTTCGTTTAGATTTGAATCTCAGGATTGCTGATATCGATTGGTTGGGCTTAAATTTGGGATTTGGGCTTGGAGATATCATTTGGATTTGGGATTTGGTTTCAATCTAACATGACTCCAACTTGGTAGTCGTGTTACATTGACACCAAATCTCAGCCCCCAAATCCAAAATCCAAGCCTAAGACCCAAGTCCAAATTTCAAACCCAAATCTATACCAAATCCAAACCATTTCATATCAATTTATAAGAATTGAGATTTTTTTCTTCCTTCTGTGACTTTATCTTACAAAGCCGCATCATACTTGGATATTTTAAAACCAAACCCAAACCCAAATCCAAATTCCAGTCGCGAACAAATCCCAAGGCCTTGGATTTGTTGCAATCCATAGGTAGAACATTGAATTTGACCACTGAATACAAAAAAACGACTAAAGTACTTTCTATTTCTGCAGTAATTATTCTATCACAAAAGAAAACAACGTGAGATGAATGCAGAGCATGTTACGGAGTGACCAAGTTCTACTCCGTGATGTTTCTATCCTAATGTATCTTTCCTTTCCAGCGCGTCCATATTTTCCTTTTTTTCTCTCATATGCAATTTTTTCTTCTTTCTTCTCATATGAATTTGTCCCTTCCTACCATCTGCATTATCATGTATGAGATTTTCCCTTTCATATTCTTCTTGTCACTTGGATCTTTCCAATCTTGTTTATTATCATGGACATTTTTATCGCGTCCACTTATATATACAGATCATAATTTCGCAATAAAGATTCTACATTCCGATCTGATGTTCGTCTTCTTCGATCTACAGAGTTAGCCTCTTAAGAGGTTCACATCCTATACAGAGTAGCTTAATTCTAAATAAATGCTATAGCTTTCAATGAAGTACATCGCAAAACAGAAGCTCATTTTAAGGTTTAAATCTTTTTCGAAGAAATACACGGAGAGAATTTTAGCTGGGTCTAACCATTATCATCTTTCTTATGATTTATCTGACTGTATGAGTTCTAAAGAATGACCATTTCTGGCACGATTGTCATCTACATTTAGTCAATAGTTGATATTCGATTTATGAGTTAAATGTCAGAGTTATAATGTACGAATATACAATCTCCATTTTTTCTGACAAGCGAGAGTGACGTCGCATGACTAGTCTGGGTATAGTGGCATCGCATTTTATTCATTAACTTACAATTCACCACTTGTATTCATAATGTAGAGTGTCGTAGTTGTTACTCTTTGAACGATTAATAATTTATTGTTCTATCAGTAGTTGACATTTTATGTGTCTATATTAATGAAACTTGACTTGAAATCTTTGCTGAACTGTCGTTAATTACTCTCATCTAGGGATGTAACACAACTAACAACATTATTCTCAACTGATATTGATAGTGTTACATGGCTATCCACATTCACACCCCAGATTGTTCTGATTGAAAATGTCAGATAGTATCGGTGAAAAGTGACAGTTCATTATTTGACGTTCTTCATCGAATCATTTAATTAATATGATCAAGAGAATCATTGTTTCGGTAAATCACAACGTACCATTCCTTTTAACATGTCAGATGGTCATCGATCATAGAAATGTCGTGCGAAATACTTATGACGACACAATGAACGATGAGTTGCCTTTGTTGACGATAATTTGGTGAGGAAATAGGTGTTGACAATGATGTGTGTCGATTGGAGACGAAATTTCAACAAACAAGAGCCCATAGTGATTTTGTACGTCTGTCGATCACCATGTTCTCTGACGCTCCACTGTAATTCTCAAACTCCAGTAGTCAAAATCTGTTTCACTGCGACGTATTTCAACGTCGTGTCTTGATCTCAGCTCACATAAGATATGGCAACAAGAGTAGAAAAAAAACTAGCTGAAGTAATCTCTAATAGGAATAGCAAAGAAGTACCATGTCAAGTGATCTAAACTCTTTCATCTCATAACTCTTCAGCAGCGAATAAACGTTAAAGCCTTTGAGTAACTTCCAGATTCCAGCAGAATACAAATTCAACAATCCAGAGTTGCTCAATAAAATCTAAGAGATCAGCGAAAATCATCCGTCGATTTCTCTTCGTGATCCATCTGTAATCGCATGTGTTGATGATGTTGTATTCAAATCTAATTTTGCTCGATATCAATTTCTTAATGGACGGAATTCAGCCATTGTTAGTGGTTCTTATTTTTACACCAGACTCATAAAAGAAATCATTGCGAGAAAATGTTCTGACACCAATCACTAGAAGATATTACACTTGAGCTACGACTATTCGTAGTAGAAACTTGTCCACAGAATTTCACCTCTTTAGCTCATATTTTTAAGATAGATAAGTTCTTGTCCTATAGACACAAACATCAAGTTTCATCTCAAACTAATGAATCATTCCTGAGATATCGATATTAAAAGGATAGTTATTCAGACTAATTTTGAGCGTTTTTTGAAAGCAGCATTTTTCAGTAAAATGCAGTTTTATCCAATAGGCAAGCTTGAGAATAGGTTCATTTGAAAGAGAATATCAGACAACACGAAATGACATTTCCAAAGGTTTGTAATTAGGACTGGGTGTTGGTATACAGCATTTTTCAACAAGACTAAAAATATGAAATTTGCCATGCCGATACAGCATGTATCTATAGAGAAAACTTTTCGAATTGTTTATTTGAATATTTTAAATGAAAGAACATGACGAGATATCTCTAAATTCAAAGTTTCAGCTCGTTTGGACGTGTCTCTAAAAAATCGTAAAAGACTTACACTTCTTCAAATCCTGATGAGCGACATACAACACAGTTGTTGTTTTCTCGTGACCATATCTCACGACAGGACTAATAAAAAGGGTGTGGGTGTGGGTGTGGGTGTGGGTGTGGGTGTGGTGTGGTGTGGGTGTGGATGTGGGTGTGAGTGCGGATGTAGGTGTGGGTGTAATGCAGATCCACACCCACATCCACATCCACACCCTTCCGGGATAAGGCATCGCCAGATTTTGATTGGATTACTATTGTAATCTCATAGGTAATTTCATATTACAATATCTGCTTTCTATTCCTGTTATGTTGAAAATTTATATGATCGTACAATCTATATGAATATATCACATATAAAAATATGAAAAATAAATAGAACAATAAAACGTGTACAGAGAAAAGAATAGTAAAAAGTATTAAGATGTACTGTAATAATAAGATTGCTTTTATTATCAGTTTTTGTCGAATCTAATTGAAGCGAATCTAAATGAAACTTTTGTTATTCGTTTTGTACTGTGCTTCAAACAGCATAATATCCTATAATTATACTTGAGTCTCTGGAGCCTTTGAGGATTTAAGGATTCTCCAGGCTTCTTTCGACTCCGGCGAGTCAGATAAATGTAAGGAGATGTAAATCCAAGAATTCAATGAATTCCAAGGTTGTATGTGTTTCAAACACTGAACGATTAGATACATGGACAGGACTCAAACGATTTTATGCTTTTCGATTTCACGGTAAATCAGTTTTATCTTCAGCGGAATTCATTTTCTTTTTAAGAAACTCAAGGTTTCTCCGAGTGCGATCCGCCGTCCGCATATTTCCATTGACTGACTGGTTTACATTATTATTTTTTTTGGTTCCATTTTATTTCAATGAATTCGAAAACAAACGATTACAATTAACTAATTAGTTAAGTCAAAACTAGGTAATCATGTTAATTCATGTCTTTTTTTGGTGTTTATATTGTAGTTTTTTTTCTCAATTGAATTCGATATCGAATTTTTGAACTCGATTGTTTCCCAAATCGGTGACATACAGATTACCGTGTTTATCGAATGACAAACCGAAGGGCATACTGAGTTGGTTTGATGCTTGTCCATTACCTTTTCCACCAACTACGATGCTACATTGTGTGGCTCCTTTTGTCCAACGCATGACTCGACCATTTCCGAGATCAGCCACATAGACAGTGCCCAATTGATCGACAAGTATTCCTTCATTATATATACCATGCGTGTAAGCTCAGGTCCTTTTCCATTGCCACCAGCCACGATAATGCGTCCTTCAACACCTTTCACCCATTTCGTCACACGTGATTGTCCGTGCTCAGAGACATACACTGCATGATCTTTATCGACGGCAATGTATTGTGGTTCAAAGAGTTGACCGGGATCATGTCTAATTCCATGACCGCCTGCAACCAGGGTTCCTTTAGATTCTCCTCTTCGATAACGTCTTACTTCATAGTTTCCATTGTCAATGATATAGAGAGATCCATCGTCGTCCATTGTCAAACCTCTACAAAAAATGTTGGAGATGATGGTTTCTCCACTTATTCCATTTCGACGAGGCCATCGAACCACTCTTTTATTGCCTTGGTCGCAGATAATGAGGCTATCGCTTTCTTTGTCGACGATCACATCAAATGGTTGATATAATTGATTTGCATTACTTCCCGCTCCATTTCCACCAGCAACTACTTGGCCACTCGTCGCGCCTGGTTTCCATTCCACAATACGATGATTCTCTCTATCAGCCACATAGATCGTTTGTTCATCATCAACATATAAACCCGATGGCATCGAGAGTTGATTGATTCCAGTGCCTTTACCATTTCCTCCAGCTACAGTGACACCGTTTGGTTTCCATCGAGCATTTAGGTGAATATGAATTAAACGTTCACGTAATGCATAGCCTAGAATTGAACGGAGTGAAAGAAAAAGGAATAAGAATCAAATAAATAATAGATTTCTAAGTTTTGAAAAACAATAGAAGAGTACATCACTGATGCCAGTTATTCATTAATATGATCATTCCTCTTAATTTTTTACGAATAAATAAGGAAAAAATATATTACTTCATTAATAGAAAAGTTTCTTTGAGGAAAAACAACTGATATTTCTAATTACTTTTAGTCATCTTCAAATTTAAAAATAAATGAGAAACATCCTAAAAATGAATGGATGAATCCATGAAAATCGATAGTTTTTGACTTCCACCATTAAAAATATCAATCATTTCATAGAAGTATGCGGCGATTTGTAAAAGACGATTTGTGATATAACGGAGTTAGGACTAAAAACAACGAACCTAGTTGCATTACACTGATGATGTGAATGTAGGTGTTTGTAAATGTGCGAATCACTTCGGTTGCTAATTATAATGACGAATATGTTACAGGATTTATCTCAAGTTGCCATCGTTTTATAATCGAAAGCAATCTAAGCCTAGCCAAGAGAAGCACAACGCCCTGTCCTGATAATAATATGACGACATTCTATTCAGCTGATGTGTGTTTGTGTGTTGCAATTATGGGAATTTTCAGTTTTGTAGGTTTTATGAAAAGCTCATGAATGATAAAAATTGGAACAGCGTTTCTGTCAGAAGTCAAGGATAGGGATCAAATCAGCGATAACTCCAACTATTGGGTACTACTTAGCTAAGTTAATAAATGATCTCAACAACGGCATAGGCAACGAAGGATCCCTGAAAAATAACTAATCGATCTGCGCAAATGAGTCAAATGCAAACATGAAGCCAGTTCCTTTGATCTTTAAGGAATATGTATGGCTTCGGTGGTGAAGAGTTAATGGCCACTAGACTCAGTTCGTTCCTAAAATAGGTGAAGAACCCCAAACAACGTCTTCTTCTTTGAAGGAATGACTTTTTCCAATTTGAGATAAGTTTTGATTTCGAGTACACAGGTCAAAGACGTACACAATGGAAAACGACCATATCTCGCGAATTTCCAGTCAATTAATGCAAGCAGTCTTCCAAAAAGGGTTCCGACTCTCGGATCGTGCTTAGTCCTCGTCGATTTCTGAGTCAAGATGAAATGCTCGAATACGGTTTTTGTTTCTCCTACGGTTCCATACTAATGCTTCAGTGTTCCACCTCAGTAGCAAGATCCGCGTTTGATTCCAACTTAATACTATCACTCACTTCAATCGATTTTCTTTTTCACCTATAAAAGTGCAATGTTCCACCTAAAAATCTCAACAGCTAATTACTAATCTATCTCATTTTGCTCGTATTATATTTAATTATTACACTTAGCTTGTTCATATAGAATGTGGACGGATAGGACATATGTCCTATCATTGCGTTGAAGTCCTATTCAATGTGCTAGATGAGTATCTAATATTTGTTTTTAATGTTCTGCTATTTTGTTTCGAACTTTTGGTTTCAGTCCTCACAGTGCTTTATATGGACCTTAGTAAGTGTCGAGAGCTCACAGAAAGATTGGCTTTCTCGTTGAAGTAAGATCCGTCTAAAAAACTTACCTACATTAAGATAGTAAAAGAAAAATCTTCAAAGATCCTTCTTCTGTAAACTATGGTTTGAATCTGAAGGCAAGTGCAAGCATAAAGTTCCTTCTGTAGAATACCTTACTATGTGACTTTTTATCATTCTAGTGCGATCATCATAAAAATTTTCTCGAAATTGAAGTATTCGAATAAAAAAATCTTTGTAGGTGCCGAAAGCTCTTAATTTGTCACGGCCACAACTTAAACCTGAAAGATCCCCTAAAGAGAAGGATTGCTTCTCTATCAAGTCTTAGAATGGGAATTTCGATCGTTTCTTGTATGCGCTTCTCAAAACTACCTTAAAATCAAGGTCTTCAATGGCAGGTACGCTAAGTTCCAGTGTTGAGCGGTAATCATTCAATCGATTCTGTGTGTTTTTCAGGTCTCCAGGAGGCAAGAATCATCGTCCTGGGTACTTTCTTATTTTATAGTGTCTTTCAACGACATACTATGATTTGATAGTAAGAACTATGCTCGATGAAATTATAGGCCATCAAACTCAAACAATCATATCAATCATCAGGGGATATCGAAAAATAGACTACACCCATTGTGAGGAAATTTTCGGAGTTGAAATGGACGCCTAGAATTTTCTCAGTTAGAATACTCCATAGGTAAAAGCAAATAACAAAATGGTATGAATTCAACTATGACTTAACCAGATACTGCGTTTGAGAGGGAATAAATTCAAAAACAAAATTTTTCAGGTTTTGCTTCGGTAGGAAGCCAGATGATCCATTCTCTCGTAGAGTCACCCTCAGTAACCAGACATGAAGAGTACAATGTATATCACACCTGTAACACTAAAATACAATATCATTGAAAAGTTATTGAATCGAAGAAAATAACACAGATTACATACCAGAGAAGACCAAAAATGAAGCAGCGAAATATGATTCCCATCATTGCTTGCTGTGGAATAAGATGAAGAATCAATAGCGCGAATTCTTGTTGTATTTGTGATACACAGGTGGTGGTATTAGAACATGTTTTTTATTCTTAAATTGGCAATTACATTGCCTAATACTTCAATCAATAGTAACTAGAGACTGATTGTACTTCGTTCTGGCTTAGTACACTCTCCTCAGAAATCATAAATGAAATGTGGTAAGAGACGATGTTTCAACAAAGTACCGAGAAAACTTGTGTGGGCACATGTCATGAAATTGCTTCAATTTTAATAGGGTATTTGCAAAAAATACGCGAATACCAACGGACTCTTTCTCCGTAAAACTGTACCTGATAGTTTCAGTAAGGAGAGCTGGCCGATTTTAATCCACGAACATTCATAACTTTTGCTAATGAGCAGACCTACTTGGGTGTGAGTGTGGAGTGGGTATCACTCATTTAAAACCTATTAGGTGAAAAGTTACTTTTAAGAGTAAGTTTCTGAGAAACTCGGCCACAATAGCACATCAACGACGGTGAGACATTGTCGGATTCACTAATTTTTTAAATGTTCCCTCTACTGAAAGGAGGGTCATACGCCGAAATGAGGTAGGTTCGTGAGTTCGTTCGTTTGTTCGTTTGTTCGCACCGAACAAAAAAATGTTCTTTTGACCTTCTGCAGATTTCTCAGTGAAGTAGCAGAAAATAATCTGCACAAATCGAACCAATCAGATGTTTTCTCATATGGGTTCTTAACCAATGGGATTTCGCGAAGCCGAAATCCAGCCCATTAGAGGTTTTCGCCTGTAGGCTCTTAACCAACGGGATTTCGCCGAGGCGAAATATCACCAAACAGAGCTTTTTCGATATGGGCTCTTAACCAATGGGATTTCGAGGGGGCGAAATCGAGCCAATCAGAAGTTTTTCGACATCGGCGCGTAGCCAATGGGATTTCGTGAAGCCGAAATCGAGCCAATTAGAGATTTTCTCCTATGGGCCCTTAGCCAATGGGATTTCGTGGAGCCGAAATCGAACCAATCAGAGCTTTTTCGATACGGGGTGTTAGCCAATGGGATTTTGCGGGGGCGAAATCGAACCAATCACAGCTTTTTCGATATAGGCTCTTAACCAATGGGATTTCGAGAGGGCGAAATTGAGCCAATGAGAGCTTTTTCGATATGGACTCTTAGGCAATGGGATTTTGCGGGGGCGAGATCGAGCCAATCAGAGGTTTTTCGATATGGGCTCTCAGCCAATGGGATTCTACGAAGCCTAAATCGAGCCAATCAGAGGTTTTGCGGTATGGGTGCTTAAGGAAGAGGATGTCACGCGGCGGAACTGCAGCAAACCAAGCATTTTCCGATATGGGCGCATAGCCAATGGGATTTGGCGAAGCCGAAGGCAAGCGATGAGTGGTTTTTCGATATAGGCGATTAGCGAATGAGATTTCGCGCAAGGAAAGCTAAGCCAATGAAGTGCTTGTGGGTGTGGCCCATGAGCGAATGAGATTTTGCGCAACGAAAGTTCCGCCAATCAGAGTTTTTTGATATGGACCAACAATTGATGTGACTTTGCGGCGCCAAAATCGGTTGAATGCGAGGATTTCGGAGATGGGCTGTTAGCCAATGGGATTTTGCACAACCGAAATTGAGTCCATTAGGCGTTTCGCATATGGAGCATTGATGAAGTATATTGCGTGGCGACGAAACTGGCGGAATCTTGCATTTTCGGGAACGGATGGTTGGCGAAGGAAACTTCGCGGAGTGGTACTCGGGGCAATCTGGTGTTTTGAAGCTATGGTGTGAGAAAATGAGATTTTGAGGACGTGGATGGGTGTGGGTGTTGGTGTGGGTGTGGGTGGGTGTGGGTGTGGGTGTGGGTCTGGGTGTGG